CTTATCGATTACGTATTTTTTTATCACATATACATGCAGTTTATACATATTGATTACATATTAAGAGTTAATGGAAAAAATAATAGTTGTAAAACAATAATGAATGATAGTATAATAATCCCATTGAAGGTCGATTTCCTTCATGGGATAATTTGAATGTCCATACTAGCTGCAGCGGAATCTGAAGCTCACTTCAGACATGTCCCCTCAATTGTAAGAGGCTACTCTGGTTTCTTGGAAGTATGCTCCTGAAAACCTCGGTGATTATTGGTTGTATATTATCACTAGGAATTTTAATGTTGAATAATACTATTTTACTGAGTAATGAAATAGGAAAGGCCAGTTTTAAAAAATTAAAAATAGAAAATCTTATGATCATAGTAAAATAATGACTTATAAGATACATATGTATGTATGAGTTGATTAATGGTGTATCAATGACCATCTATGATATACTACCACCGACTATAGTAATAATGTGCTAATATTATTATTAATATATTATCAAATAGTAATTTTTCAAGTTAATACCACTTAATCATCTTATTCAAAAGAATTCTTCTGAACTCCAAAAAATATTTAACTTGGAGTTTATATCATTGCAAGTCCACCTGAAAAAAAAAGTTGTTTGAAATTCTGAGTAATACAGAATGTTTAGTTTTTTTTTTGAGTGCTGGAAAAGAAATGTGCTCATTATATAAAGTTGATGTCGATACTCGAGATACCGTTTTTGATAGGCACTTTCGCCTAAGTTTTTCTTGGAAATTTTTGGAATTTGGTGAATTTAAGTTGTTTTTTTNNTTTTTTTTAATGTGAACCTATAATTATGTGAAGTATTGTATTAAAAATACTACAATATCACATCACATTCAATCCATTGCATATTTCGGTCCAATAGCTTGTGAAAATTCTCTTTAAAGGGGCACTGAAAATTCTCTCAAAAGGGGCACATGGCTGTGAGGTTCCCAACTCGATTGAAACTGTCTGAAATCACCGTCCCTCCCCTACTAGTAGCGTGCTCCTTCATCACCTTCGGAAAGGTGATAGACCTGGCTTGTATTGATGAGACCCGATCGACAAAAATTCCACGTGACGGTCCGGTTGATGAAGTGACACTTTGCGACGTCGTTGGTGTTGTCGAGGACATCGTTTTCAGTGAACAGATTTTACCGTAATCATGCTCATCCCCAAGATTTCATGACCTCAGACACACCGGCACCCATTTCAAAGCCCTGTGAATGGATTAGCTAACCACTGCGCTGTAGACCTAGGCGGGTACTTCTTACATAGTTCTAGGTAATGAAAAGCGTTCAGTGTTGTTCAACAAGGGTATACAGTAGGACTATGAGTATGTATATTCAAATGTAAATACTACTGCTAATGTGGTAGACAGCTGTGTTTACAACACCAGCTATTACTGTTGCAGTGCGATGTTGGTGAAAATCTTAAAAGATAGGAAAAGAGACGGCGTTTCTCGGCGTCAATCAATCTGTTTCTGATATGCGCCCTGCAATAGACCTCTATCCAGAATCGTAGATGCGTTTGAATGCGTATGGTATGTGGTCTTCACAATCATTTGCGCTGGCCAGCCAATGTAGAGGCCAGTGATTTTATTCTCCCAGACCAGTCTAGTACCATTAGCCGATCTCAGAAATTTGACTAATTGGTACTAGACTCATTTGGGAGAATAAAATCACTGACAGGGTTGGCTGGGGCCGTTATTCATCACTTCGATTCTTCGATCCCTTCGATCCCCAGACCCTTCGATCCCCAGACTATGCCCATGATAGTGCGCTACTTGGCAGTACTTTTGCCATACAAGGTGAATGATTATATAAAAGAAGAAGTCCTAAAGCTAATAGTTATCGAACCAGCGAGGAATAATGCAATGGTACCGAAAGATTGTGAATAGTTTCCATGAAAATGATAACACGTATTTGGAACAGTTCGAGCTCTCCCCTCTACCCTACCCTAATATTTGCCAATTTTCAGATGAACCGCTGTGATTCCATGCATTCTCAACTGATCATATGATAGACAACTCGTGAGCGAAAGAAAAAAAAGTGGCAAAATTCATTGGTGAGTCCTTCATTTGACGGCCTAACCTGATCGAAACGGAAAATATGTAGCGGGCAACTAGGAGGTGATGCATCTTGTCGTTTGGCAGTTTTTTTATGAGAACCTCTTTAATTTGTAGGGTCACTTATTGCCCATGTTATTTTTTATTGCATTATTTCAATTAAATTATTTGGCGATTTATTTATTTATTTATGAATATGGCTACTCACAGTCTTCATGTTAACTCTTATTCAAACTGAGCTCTAATTTGTGAGGTTGCAGTCAGCCTAGGCGGGATTTGATCCTGCGACCGTCCCTGAGCAATACGATCTCTTATGAGTAAGGTGGGAAACGAACGAATTTTCTGTGGAATGTAAATTAGTTGGGGTTATAACAAAAACCGAAAGAACCGGAGCATTCTACACGATCTCTGCCCAGTGGGTAGTGAGTGATTCAATGTCCCAGGGTTGACCATCGTGATCACCAATACTGCACGTTTCCAGCGAGGCAATTGGCCAGTGAAAACTATCTGAAACCAGCCCAGTCCTCAGGGGTGTTTTTCTTCCAGAGTTTTTCTTTCTGTTACGCGAATTGTCACATGGAATAGCTGTGTGAATTTGGAGACTGTGGGCAAAACACTTTTTTGGGAAAGTTCTCTGCACGCCCTATCAACTTCTTATGGTTGCCATCGAAAAGAAAGTTACAGCGAGAAAATGCAGTGCCCACTCCCTTAAAAGTTGATTTTTTTGAGAATAATTAACCAGTACACGGGCAGGGTAGATGTTAATACTCCTTATTAGCCAACTGATGGGTCCCTCTGATAGAGCTCTTTCTAGAGCTATTGAAGCGCTTGTCCATCCGAACGGTTGATTTTCTGTATGCCCTGTCCCTGGAAAGGAGTGCGACGTCCATGTCAATAGGCGACGCCCAGAGACCTTTGGGTAAGAGACGTCACAATATTTCCGAACGATTTTCTGGTAAATGGATAGCCTGGGAATAATTCTTTGCACGGAACACGTCTCTTCCCTTGCAGGAGAGCAGAAGTCAATTCGAGAAGTTAATAATCTCGATTTGAGAAAGGCAGAATTCTTGTTGGTTGTCGGGCAAAAGCTTTTATTAGTGAAATATTTCCGAAATATTTATTTTTTCAAATGTTTCTTCAGTCGTTTTTTACCAATTTTTTATCGTATTTTTAGACGTAAAATATTTCATAAAAGAGGTATTTATATAAGATGGAGTTATTTCTCGAATTCAGGAAAACCTTCAGAGCGCTGAAATTCAGATCCCTGATCTCGATTAAGATAGCATCTATGAGTGGGTCAAGTCTGATTCCTCACGGATTTTCTCAGGATTTCACCCCTCGAAGTACTTTTTTCTCTATTCAGCATTGATAGGAAGGAAAAATGGGAGGCCTTATATTGAGACTGATTTGATAATGAGATGAAACAACTGCAGAAGAATGGTTAAGTAAATGCATGATTTTTCGAATTGACGTTTGCCATACATTAATGTTTATATTCATTTTACCACCTATTTTATTAATTTGCTTTATTTTAGTTCGTTTATTAAGTTTATAAGCAATGCCTGACATAACCAAAAAGAAATTGAGAAATAGGGGTAGTGGAATGGATTTCGGGAAAAACGCTCATGCAGTGAGAAACCCATGGAATTCAAAAACATCCGTCTCCATCGAATCTGTGACAATTCGAGCGGAGCCCCCCGAAGAAGTGGCTGTCAAAAGTGGTTTATCGAGAGTTTTTGTTAAAAAAGGAAAAAATGAGGGCTGTAGTGCCTCCAAGAAAAACGAGGAGCAAAGCAATTTGGGCGAGGTTTTTCCTTGATTTAGTTTTACTCAATTTGCTATTCATTTTTATTTATCTGATTTTATCTTTAGTTATTTTTTATGTTCGGACTTTAAGTGTAATTTGCCGGAGTAGTAACCCTAGGGCCACTCTTCGTTACCAAGACGTCATTCAGCCCCATGAAGAAGTTGACAAATTGGTACGGACTAGGATTCCAGTAGAAAAGCGTCAATAGATCATAAATAATGATAAAAAATATAAGTATATTAAAAATAGATATGAGCAGAAGTGTGATAGGATCATGTAACTGAATATTGAGAGAACAAAAAATTTACTGACAAGGGAGTTTATTTTATGAGGTTCTTTGTTGTGAAGTACCAAAAAGGGGATAGATCGACAAGTTTTGGTTCTGAAAGTAGGAAGTGTGAAGGTGATTGGGGAAGAAGACAACTAAGACGAGGTTTTTCTTTGTTATTCAAGGTCCACCCCATTGTCGATACCCCTCTACTCCTTCCAACCCGAATAATCTGCAACTGCAATCTCTCGATCGATCATTATGCATACGTGCAATATTTGATGGTGTAGCTAACCCAAGTACAGTGGAGAGGACAGTTTTGGTAATAAATAATGGATTCCACCATTAATAATTCTGAAAAAAAAAACTTGCAAACCCGCCCTTGAATGATAGTCAAGGATTTTGTAATCATCCATGTAAGGAGGCGTCAATATTGATTTGTTTTCAGTTTTTCTAATGTCTTAATAAAAATATGTAATTTCAGTCAATAGGGCATCAAAAAATGTTCGACTACTGCATTAAGTGAATTCCTTGATGTTTTGTCATTATCTCCCAGTTCTAATGCGCCTTGATTGTACGTGCACAGTAGTAAGGAAACGCGATTATCTACGTATTTAGACAAATGTAAGGTNAGGTTGGACGAGAATGTGACGACAAAAGTTGCATGGAAGGGATATATGGACGAGCTGTCCGAGGGTGTGTCCCATTGCGTATACTTGACTGAAGTAATGCAGTATTTTCTTATAAACAGAATTAGACTAGGCCATCTACTTTTGAAAATGCGCTAAAATTCAGTAGAATCTTTTTATTGAATCTAGTGATGTAAACAACATTCGCTAGACAAGCTAAGTTGATACAGCAAATCCAACACGCTTGTTTGCATGGTCAAATATCGAGTAGAAGGCGCCTATGAAGACATCACCAAGGATCCATGAGTTTTCTGAAATTACGTAATTCAGTCCTATCAAAAAGAACCGGCTGAATGCTCTAAGCTTACCGGCAGGCAGTCCCTGGAACTCTTGGAAACCGGATGTGCACGTTCCGTCGGTGTACTGAAAAAAGTAATGAGTGAGTGCAAATAATTCATTCAGGGGCTCGTCACTTGCTTATTTCTTTACATGGTGCATTTCACATCTTAACATCAGGATTAGCCCTATTCCCTGTTAATCGTAACCATCGTCCGCTTAGATTTGAGTAAAACTAAAGGTTCTAATGTGCTTTCTCAGCTCCAAAGAGCCACGCAGCTGGTTCCGGCTACAAATTTGTCAAGTATAAACGTTCTCAACTCGATACCTGGATCACGTAGTTATTCGCCACCATGATCAGTTCTGCACCGCCGATGAAGAATGTAATGGGTGGAAGGCTGGAAATAGTGCTGCAGTTGATCGACCCTGATTCGTCTGCTCCGATTGCTTGTTGGATCTTTAAGAGGAGTTGATCGAGTAAGAAATATGATGCTAAAATCCAGTATGTTAAGGTCTACCTGCTGGACCAATGCAGGTGGTCCTGCAATAAGTGAGGTGCCACTGTCAACAATTGCTTCGACCGGTCCATCGATGATTTGTTGCCCGTTGACGATTAGCCCTCCAAGTTGGATTTGCCAGTAGGTCTCTGAGATGAGCGGCTCCCATGCGATTGGGCCCTTGAAGATTATCGTCAGCTTCAACCGCTAGAAGTCTAGGGGAAGTACCTGGTAGTGGGTAGGATCGATTCCACACAGAGTCAACTCTCCACCGATGACATTATGATGGAGGTCACGGTTTAGCCAAAAAGAAAAGACGGCTTCCGGACAAACTACCTGAATGGAGTCCAACTTTAGGTGTTCGCCAATCAAATTGAGATCTCTTTACAGTCGATCCCCTTGAGATTTGTAGCGGCATTAGTATGCGCATATCAGTTATACGTAGTCTACGAAGATCAGTCTATATATGTATGTGCAAGTCAATGTACGTGTACTGTAGCCACTCCTCTCATGTCAGACAATTGTGGCATTGACAAAACAACCCTGAGGGATGGAAGACTTTCTGTTGAAGAGGCGACTTGAGCAATCTTTAGTCTGTCTGGTTATTTTGTCTTTTGACGTTTTTGCTTATTGTTGTTGTTTATGCTCCACTAACCTCACGTTGTTACGCTTTACTTATTAGCCTAGCCGGGAATCGGTCTGAGAGTCTGTGGCTCATTACATTGTAACAAACCTCAAAGCATTTAATGTTACCTTTCCATTTTTTGCGACCTAGGCATCTGGCTGTTTTAGGTTTCCTATGAACCGCGCCATGGCTCTGCTTACGGTCTTGGCCGACTTGTTGTACTAATACTTGGCGTTTGATTGAAATAACCTGATTAGCGAATATCTGGGTCATAGGTTGAGAAATGCCTCCTTTTGCAATAGAATCCCATGCCATTCCAAGAATGCCATCGAATGGAACACCCTGAAATCAAGAAGCCGATATCTCTCGTTATCCTACCAGAACACAAAATATACGATCTCGTCTTACAACGAATGTGTCTCCGGGTTCCTGCTCTGCACAAGTGAATCCCTGTAGGTAGTTGGTACAGCACTTTTGATCCGTTCCAAACTGGAAGATAGAAATTCCTGGGTGCACAGCCTCTAGGAGATTTGGGAACTCACGCAGACGACATCGTAATCAACGTAGCCCTGCATCGAGCCTGTCCCATACTGAAGCGAAATGGGCTGGTACGTTTGTGTGCAAGTTGACGATTGTGCACAATTGAACTGAAAACAAACAATAAGTTGATTATTCGTAGCGTATTACATTTTCTCGTCTATCTACCTTCTGATGAGATGAACAAGCCTGGTTAGAGGATGGACAATTCGCGCACGGGACCCATAGGTTGGACGAGCCCGTGTCAAACAGCACTTTGAATGTTTGAGGGGGAAATCCAATCTGGATAGTGCCGTAGTACTGTGCCTGCAATTGAGCCAGTTGATCAGGTACTGGATGTGGACTTATATCGGTTGCTTACATTCAGGTAATTGGAGAGTCCCTCCTGATAGTCATAGTTCGAGCCGAACGTGTAGTTTTTGATGTATTTCTGTCTAAGAAATTCAGCAAGTGCGCCCTTTTTATAAGATTTCCGATCAAGAAACGTTTTGGATATGGGCACACTGAATCATTTCGATAAATTTCCTTTCGGCTTGGGTTTAATTCAGTACTCACCGAAAAATTGCGTCGATGCCTGAACAGAGCCACAAAAGCAGAAGCACGAGCGGTGTCATCTGATTAACTGAGATTCTGATGAAAACAAGATTCGTAGACTTCCCACCAGATTAAGAGTTCTTAAGAATGAAGTGCTTTACAGAAAAAACGGCTATTCGGCTCGCTAATTTATGGGAGAATCGAAGTTCAGCAGTCAACCTTTTACCAATCTTTCTACTCATAAGCCGGGCCCTTTTTGAGTTTGAGTCGAAAACGATTGTCAAATGATACCCTTCTTGAAAATGCCTCATCACAGAAGTTGATCACAGATTCTAGGTTAAATCATCGCAAGAAGTAAAAAGACTTGAGTTTTCGAAAAGGGATCATGAAAAGACTTGGGTTTAGATGATGCAGTTTCCGATTTAGTAACTCAAAATAAATTGTTGGACTGTTAGATAACGAGGTCATAGTCAGGGATACAGGTATATACATATTTATTTATCTATTTAAGTCAATCTTCATGTCACTCTGAAGGCAACAAAAAGCGAACGAAGGAAATGGATGCGTTCTTGGTCTTGAATTGATCGAAGGCATCAGCCTTTTATAGATGCTTTTTTATCTTCATGCTAGCTTATGAAAAGTGAGACTATAGTTGTTTTTCGACGCCATCGTTATTATGTAATTCCAAATTTGATTGCCCATTTTCGGAAGATTTTCCAAGGGAATCGTAGTGTCAATAAGTCTCGACCATTTTGCTGTCACAGAATGCACCATAAAAATGATCAAATGTCAGGAAAGGGCATTTTGATTGCTGCATTCTGCTCTAAGTCTTGCAAAAACTGTAAGATCTCCCTTTAAGCACTACGGCCTAGACCCTGCTCTAATTTTTATAATAAGACTCATGAATAAGGTTATCAACGGTCGAGTGGTAGTAGGCTATGTTTGACTTACCAAAGAAACTATTGAAAGGCGCTATTGCAGTCTTTACTCTGTAGTGGTAGCTCTGGGAGCTTTAAAGATCAGTCACGAAAACTTTTTTTCAATGATTCCCACCTTAATTGGGTAAATTAGGAAGACTCGAAGTACCGATGTCTCACAAGTCTTCTTGTTATCCATGCTCTGTTAAATGAGGGTAGCCGGCATTTGTGAGCCTGTAGTGATGCTCAAAAACGTTTCTAAAGTAGGCGAATGTTATTTCTCGTTCAAACAGTAGGAGAGTAGAGATGGATAAGCACGTTGAGAAGCATCTATGCCAAGTATGCCCTGATGACACCGTCATTATAAGAATGCATCAAGCGAAAATCAGTGCAATGAGTGCGTAGCGCTAAGACCACGATTCTTGCATCGAAGATTTACTCACATGGATGGGCCTTGAGTTCTGACCAGTTTTCTCGATTGATAATGATGGGGTTTTATATTGGTGACCCCTGCTAAAAGTTGGGAGCGTGAAAAAGCTCGCTCATTCCAGGGGCTACCGAAGCGCTAAACGGCTAATCCTCCCCGATTATGTTGAAGTCGAGAAATCACTTATCTTTTAGCCGAAGCCCAGCTTCAACCTTCATCTATATATAGGTTCTTGGGGTGTCGGAATAATGAAATAAGCGCTGGCGGCGGCTCATCCGATTCCTTGAGACAACAGCGACTAATTGAGGTGGTCACATAATATTTTGGAAAGTTATAAAAACAATTTGTAAGTTTTGATACTCTCTAATAATGCAGGTGAGGCAGAAAAGCTCACCCATTAGACCGATTACACCGCACCCCCACCAACATCCACTCCCTGAGGGAGACCCTTCGTCTGCCCAACCAAGTTGCTCTATCCCTTCAGGACCATAAATTCAGTAACACTTGTGGGAGAACGGAAGTACCGATTTATAGCCCACACAACCCTCATACCGCTTGTGTGTCCGTGTAGGCCTATCGGCGTGTGTGTCTTTGTGTGGCTATTTGTCTGTGTGTATCTCTGTGTGTCTATATGCCTCTGCGTTTGTGTGGGGTGTATATCTGTGTCTGAGTGTGTATGTATGTGTGTATAACTGTCTGTATGTCTGGAATAGTGTCTGCGTGCCTGTGAGTGTCTGTGTTATCTTTTTGTGCGTGTGTGTGTATGTCTTTTTGTGTCTATGTCTCTGTGTGTGTGGGCGTATCTGTGTGTTTGCGTGTGTGTCCGGAATCTCATAACTTCTGTTCCCCTGCCTAGAAGGTTCAAACTTGATAGGAGTGCAGGCGATAGGATTGGGAGTTTGGTGGGTAGCAGGACTGGATTCCGCCCATAGGGAGCGGAGCGTGCGAATGTTATCTCACTCGTGGTCGTCCGTTCATACTTGAAAGTTCCTTGTCGTCATCAGATTTTCGTGTTGAACCCTTCAAAGTCAATGAGGTATGAGGATTTTGTGTGATATGGTGAAAGCATCGCTTCCACTGTGATTTGGGCTTTTTGAAAGACGAAAGGCGTTGAGATAAATCCATCCTCAGTCGCTGTATTCAGTCCATCTGAAACAAAGGTATTTTTCACTTTCAAATCAAATTCTCGCGGTCCCGAAGACAGCGATTTCATTCGCTGATGGCCTCGCTTGGCCTGTGATGAGGTTGCTTCTTTGTGTGGCTCCACGGAAGTTCCTGACAGTCCTGTGATATGAAGGAACCGCATTCCATCACCATTAAGACATTCGTTGACTCAACTCGTCATATTCTTTTTTGCCTTAATTTACTGCCTTGCCAGTTTCGTAGAGCACATAAATTATAATCGAGTACACTCAGGAAACTGTAAAAACTCAGCACCTTTCCCGGAAAAAATAGCATCAACGATTTTATTGAAAGGTAGAGTTTTAAGAAGATCATTTCTTGTATATACATAGAATTAGTTGAAGTGAAATTTTGAAAGCTAAAGAATTGAATTCGTCGTTTGTAAGTTGTGTAAGGGATTTGAGTTTGAACGGTCGAATTGATTTTGTAGAGGAGCGATTGCGTAGTGGATGGTCATAACTGCCAACTTTAAAAACTACGGAGTCTAATGTAAGGGTAAACAGAAGTTACAGGCAGTAGTCACGATATGTCCAAGGCAGTGGACA